TTCTTACAGGAGTACGCCCCGGTCTTGAAACCTTCCGTAAGTTGCCTCACTCTCTGGTAAAATTTTCGGACATTCTTCCTGTCGGCCAGCATTTCAAGCTCTTCGCACTCACGTTTTTCTGCCTCTTTCTTCTTATTGCGGCAAATACGTCTCGCTTCCCTCTTCATATCCCTATAGCGGTCCCACATAGTGTGCGTTACACCCGATCGCAGCGTGGCCCTGTAGGTGGCATCTTTTTTCTCTGCAGCTTCCTGACACTCCTCATCGTACCAGTTGTTCTTTCGGGCTCGCTGAAATCCGACTACTTCTTCGGCGGCGGTACTTAATGAGCGGGAAATGTGGTTCCACTGCTCGCATATGTCGGTTTGTTGAAGAGTGCTCTCTGTGAGCAGGTGTGAGAGTCGAGTAGCGAAAGCGCTGGCTGTCTGTTGTGATTGCAGCTTTTCGTCGTTAAGCTTTCCTTGCATATTTGGGCGCACATTTTTTGCTGCACAGAGGCGGGTGCGTATCTTGGCTGCAACAAGATAGTGGTCCGAGTCGATGTTTGGGCCTCGGAGTGTGCGTACGTCTAAAACACTGGAAGCGTGCCTTCCGTCTATCACAACATGATCGATTTGGTTTCTCGTTTATCGATCCGGAGACAGCCACGTAGCTTGATGGATCTTTTTATGCTTTAACCTAGTACTGCATACTACCATGTTTCGGGCCCCGGCGAAGTCGATCAGCCTCAATCCGTTGTCGGACGTTTCGTCGTGGAGGCTGAATTGTCCGACGGTGGTTCCAAAAATCCCCCACGGAGTCTCTCTCCCACTACAAATTCAACTCCGAATTTGCGCTCCTTTACATGGCAGCTGTAGTAGACGTCGCAAGGCCCCAGTCATTGTTTGCCTTGCCCCGTCCAACGCATTTCTTGGATGGCGGTGATGTCAGCTTTTGTCCTTACGAGGACATCAACCAGCCGGGCAGAGGCACCTTCCCCATTAAGAGTCCGGATATTCCAGGTGCATGCCCTCAAATCGTAGTCCTTTAAACGTTTGCCGCGGTCGTCATCATAATTCCATACTTTGTGCAAAAATTATGGAAATTCTGTAAATTTTGACCAAAGTGTTTAACTTTTGAAACAGCATCTTTATAAATTAAAAATTTTAATACAATAAAGTCCAATTTTAAAGTAGCTATCACTTGTTGTTGATTTTTGGCAATTTTTTTGGTGGCGGTGTTCCGCATTTTTTTCATATAATATTATCGAACATACTTTCCATGGAAAAAAATTAGTAACACAACACCGTCATTAAAAAACAATAAACATCAACGGTAAGTCCTAGCTACCTCAAATTCGCACCATATTATACTAAAATTTAATAGACTATAAAACTGCATACCACACTTTTATAAAGATGCTGATCAAAAGGTTACAAATTTTGTTGAAATTTTGCAGAATTTTCATAATTTTTGCATAGAGTGAAGTTTGGATTTATATGGTGTTTGTTAAATAATCAGCTATATTTTCATGAAAAATATTAAACATTAAATAAACTAAGGAAAAATAGCCCAAACTTGCAAAAATTTCGCATCCCACTTTATATTTGGGTCACTGTATTTTTTCCAAGAAGGAAGGGGATTTTCTTCAGAAAATAACTAATGGGAATAAAATAGCACGATTTTCGATGGAAAAGAAAACTCACTGGAAAGACAATACCTGTGAATAATTGTATCAGGCACGTTTCGAATATATGGACATACAAATCAAATTAATTAGTTTAATTGTTCAAAACTCAAAAACTTCGATATACATAAATGAATGTGAATTGGTTTTCTCGAAATCACGTTGCCCTTTTTTCCTCAGCCCTTTCACAGATTTACGTGTTCATTTCTCAAAATATTGCCATCCGACTAAGCAAAAGTGCAATACTTTCTACTAATATAGCCATTTTACAGGATAAAAAGTAACCTAGTGCAAATGTTACAAAAAAAGACATACATTTTCAATAAAAAAAAACCTCATAAGTTTGTAATCAATCTCTTTTTTTGTTTTTAAGTAATACAAATATGATTTCTGATGTAAAGCTTAGCTAATAACGACAGTTTCCTTTGGTAAACAGAAATAATTTGTAACGAATTTACCAGTCTATGTTTTTATGATTTATTTAATGAATTTACTAGTCTTTCTACTTGTTATTTATTTAATTAAAACATGTGAACTTTAGTTGAAAAATTTTAGCCGTTTTTGGCCGTTTTTTTTTTTGCCAATTTAGCCGGTCGGCTTGAGATATGGAGGGAACACTTCTCAACGCTTTTAAATAGCGACACAGGTGGCGCGTTTGATGAAGAGAACCCGAACCAATTTATAGGGACGAAGCTCACGTCCCTCAACTCGACCAAGACGAGGTGAGAACAGCAATAAAAAGGATTAAGAGCAACAAGGACCCCGGAAACGACGGTATACCGGCTGGGCTGATCAAAGCCGATGGCGAAGAGTTGGTGGGGCGTGTGTATAAAATATTTTTACACAAACAAAATACATGGGGAAAAGTTACCGAAAACCGAGTAAAGCCTGCTATACAGTACAATGCGTGAGCTTTGTATTTTGACCAATATCTTCGTTATTACTTAACTTTTTGCAATAGTTTATACATCAAAATATAGAGAATTAAAATATCTTTCAGAATTATGGAATAAAAACTAAGTTAAACGCATAAAATTCCTTTTTTACAAGCTCACATTCTACTGTGGGCGTACGCAAAGCCTTCGCATGTGAACGACAAGTTTTGACAGATGTATGTGAGCGTCCATAAGAATACAAATGGAATTATTTGCCTTTGCGAACGTTCACGCTCGCATTGAACTGTATAGCAAGCTTTAAGCAGTGTTTGCATTATTCAACTTTGCGTTCAACAATTGCGTTCAACTCAACGCAGGGTTGCACGAAAAAAAAGTTGAATGGCTAAATGTTGGCTGGCGACCAACTTTGTTGAAAGCGATTAGTTGAAAGGCCATTCAACCAAAAGTTGAATGCAAAGTTGAACAATGCAAACACCTTTTTATGGCGAATATTTTGATATTTTTTCATATTTTGATATTTTTAGCCATTCAACTTTTTTTCGTGCAACCCTGCGCTGAGTTGAACGCAAATGTTGAACGCAAAGTTGAACAATGCAAACACACTTTTACTGAGCACCAAGCTTTAGTGAAGACCCTAATTATTTTATTATCGGTTGCTGGAAGCTGATAATTTTTCTGGTAGTTGGTAAACTGCTATCAGCTGTTCGATATTTATCCAATTTTAAATCCGCCCGCTTCCGAAGGCATAAGGCATATGAGTAAGTAAAACTCCTTAAATATTCTGTTACAATTTTTTTTTATAGGAAAAAAGCTACGAATCAGCTGTTGTAAAACATAGTTTACCCATATACATATGTAATAGTCTTATATTTGCAGTAAGAGCTAATACCGTCCGAAAACATTATAGTACAGATACATCAATAAACACGTACAAATACACGTACATATACGTTAATAAATAAACATGTACAAACCACAAACAAAAACGGTACTGGACTGTCTCCTTATGATTTCGGAATAGTTGCGTTCCAGGTAACCTCATGTAAAAACATGTAAAACTGTTAAATAGCAAAATTACTCTCCTGAAAGAAAGGAGCGAGAGCAAAACAGTAAAAGTCATCAGGAACACGAAAATCCACTTTTCCTATAACTGTGACGACGTGACGAAGTGAAGGCTTCCAATGTGAAGTGAAAAACTTCAATTGAAGTGACAGCAGCAGCACTGAGCCTGACCTATGATTATCGGTTAAATTAGTGGGAAAACTGACTAGGGGCCGGTTACTCAATGTCTGGTTAACGCTAATGCCCGGTTAAACATAAATATCGACGTTACCGACTCCCTGTTGTATGCATGGAGTCGAAGACGTCGATAACGATGTTTAACCGCAGATTAGTGTTTAGCGGTTAGTTTTGTATGTGCTTGGGGAAAAAGTTACGACTTCTCCGGGCGTGTGATAGTGCATCCCTTTCTTGCACGCATTTACCTTACAGTAGGAGCGTTCCTTATCTCCCAGAAATAGTCAGAAAAAGTCCGAAGTAGTCAGATTTATTCCAAAAAGCGTTCCTTAACTCGGAAATTACAGCAAAAATGAGAGAGCAATACTCATTGAGAGTGACTCTCATCAGTCCGAAGTAGTCAGATTTAGGGCCGGTTACTCAGTGTCTGGTTAACTCTAATCTCCGGTGAAACATAGTTATCGACGTTACCGACTCCCTGTTGTATGCATGGAGTCGAAGACGTCGATAACGATGTTTAACCGCAGATTAGTGTTAACCAGACATTGAGTAACCGGCCCTCAGTCAGAAGAATTTTTTTCTGGCAAAATCCTGAAAAGTGTCGAACTCAACTGAATTTAAATTAACGGAAATTAAAGAATACGCAAAAAGTGAGAATAATCTAAAAAGTAAAAAAAGTGAATTAAAATTGGAATGAGACAAAAAATAATTGATATAGTAAGTGTTTATTGTGCTTGTGTGAATGTGTTTTGCACATACATTTCCATTCTTATTTGACGTTAGCTTTGTTGCCATTCTTTGGACTAAAAACTTGGTTTTTTGCGTTCCTTTACTTTTCCTGTAATTCTCTTTTAGCGAGCGCATTTTGCTTACGCTCTGGCATTTTGACACTTTTCAGATTTTAGTCCAAAAAGATAAGGAATGAACCTAGTAAGTTCACTCCACAGTATACCAGTAGAAAAGGTTTTTGTTTTTGTAGCTGCTTCGTGGTGAAAGTCCTTTATAGGGACCAAATTTCCCCACAAGAAATTGAGCGCATGGTTGCTTTTGCATGCCAAAAGAACAATTATTAGAAAACAGTTAAAAAAAGTCTGAGATAATACAATTATATCCTACTAAAAATAAACAGAATAGTGTGCGCCATTTAGGTAATGTGATATCATGTTTAAAAACTCTTTTTAACTCTTATTTTTCAGAAAATAATATTGCGGATCCGATTGCTGTGAGCGCTTGTGTTGTTTACCAAGAAAATGCAGCCCTGTTTGTTTTTATTTCTGTATCGTATCGCGGTGATTTTCTATTTCTTGGTAATTCGGTTTGTGAAATGGTAAACAAATGATTTAAATTTATTGGTTTGATGTGTTTAACATTTGATTAATGCAATTTTCTGTCTTTTCAGACTATTAATTAAAACACAAACAGCATCATCAACGGTGATTGCAAGAAGTACTGCAATCCCTGCGGTTTTTCCTCTTGGTAAATGCGTTCTGGTCGTGACCAAGGGTGGTCTCCCAAATCAGCCGGGAATAAGGTTAGTCATTTTCAATTTTATATATTTGTTCGTTGACATTATAGGACATGTCATCATTGCATGCTATTGTTGCAGAACAAACGCCCCATCCACTGCTGTGATAAATATGTACCATCAGTACTGCCCACCGCCGTCGGTGAAATGATTTCGAAAGCTGAACAAACGCCATCTCCTGGGCATTCCCACAGCTTGCCGACACCAGCTATTATATCACGTGTGAATGCAACTGCGGCTAAGTCTGGTTATTAACAGTGCAATAGTGCCACGTCATTGGCAAAAACACTAAGGGCTGCTGGCATATAGAGGTTGTAAAGCTTTTGGAATCGAAGAACCTACTGGAAGAAGACGCTGACCGCAAACCTATGATGAAACATCTTCTAGCATTCGTTTTACAATCGTTAAATATATATATACAAAATATTTATCGTTCTGTAGAACGTGCATGCATATTCAATTCCGATTTTATGAGTCGATTACGGAGGACAACCGAACTTCAGTTGGTTGGCCAATGGCTGAAATGGTATTACAGATGGCAACTAGCAACTGAAAGCTGGCAACTGAGTTGCGCTATATGGGCAACTGCATTTTTGTGGCTGCCGAAATTTTGGTTGAGATACTTTATTTCTTTTTTTCAACTTTTTTTTAATATGTATAATCTTGAACTGTATGAAACTCAATTATTGCTGTTCATAATAAAATACATTTTCATTTCAGTGGCGCTGTCCATCGGCAACTCAACTGAGATTCCGTTGCCATCCATAATCGATCCATAAGTCATAATCGTACGAACTAGTCAAGGCTATCACAAAATCCATCGTAGTCCGATTTTTCGTGAAATCTACGAAAATGCTTTTGAATTCGAGTAGCTACGAACGCACCGTATGCTTTGAATATACACGTTCATAACAGTAACTGTTCCTATTCAGTGATCGTTTTTCCGTAGATGTTATGAAAAATCGGATTTGACAAGATGTTGGAGAATCGCGGCAACACAGCCGTATACCTACTCTATGCTTTTACGCGCATATGCTAAATTTCTCGCACCTAGCTAAAGTGCTTGACAAAGGCAGAAGGCATATCTTCAACATTATAACTTAAATTAAAAAATTGTAAGGCATGCAATAAATAATACAACAGAACCAAAAAATGTTCTCAAAACTATTAAACATAAAAAATTGCACGAATAAAATTCATAATTTAATATAAAATAAAATATCGCAATTGTTGTTTATATGTACATACATATTTACAAAATGAATGTTAAAGCACCCACAGTAAGTCTGAAATATATAAATGACTAAGAAGAAAACTAATAAATCACAGAAATGTGAACAAGTATGTCGCGAAATCTCTAAATAGTAGCGAAACTGTATCTTAATAATAATAACAATTAATTTTAAGCAAAAAATACAACCGACTTCAATGCGCATTCAGGTCGTTTTGGTTACGTAGACCCGACTGTCCTCCCTTTTTTTTAAATCGTTAAAAAAATTAATACGTATTCTACCGAAAAAAATCAAGATAAATATTTAAGGATTTTAAGTAAAAATAAATAAAGGAAAACTTGTTTGTGATATCTCGACCAAGGTGTATTCATGATACAAAAATTTGAAGGTAAAACAGCTGAGAGGCAGCCTGAACATTTTTGAAGTTTGCTAACATAAAAAAAGATGTTTTCAAATTTCCAATCTCACAAATACATTCTCATTTTCAGTCTCAAATAAAAGAAAATTTCAGAATTTTCATCTATTTGTTTTTTGTTTTACTTTTATTTGGAATTTGGGTTGCTCTCAAAATTGCAATTTTATAAAGTAGACAAACTTCAAAAAATAAATGATGGCCGACGAATTGAGCAAGCGGTTTTACCTTTAAATATTTGTATCATAGGTGTATTAAACAAGGTGTTATTGACAACTCAGTGCGGCTCTCTTTTAAGATACAATAATCAATTTGACTTTATAGGATGGTTCTTCTGAGAGCAATGTCAAAATCGATCACACTTTGTTAAATACATTTTGAACCAAATAATAAACATCCTCTGTAAATATTTTATGAAGTGTTCCAAAATTCGCTCCGAGGGCATTCACTGTTGATCATTTGATTAACCGGGCCTTTACACATTCAATTGTCACTTTTCAATTTTCAATACTCTCACACTTTTTCACTAACACACTCTTATTTCTTGCTTGAATGGGCAACTTGCTTTCAATTTTTCCCTTTCAATTGAGTTACAATTTTGATCAGCTTTTCAGCATTGGTTTGCGAATTTTGTGAAAATGAAAAATACTAAGCTTATGCATGTTAAAATGTTAATCTACAATGGAATTAAAATGGAAAATATTCTTCAGAAGCTAGTTAGTAACATTGGTTTCTTGAAGGCGACATGTTGATAATGAAATTGGTTCTCAAATTGAATGCAGCCTACGTAATGGCTTTCAAGTTTGATGATTTTTGACAAGCAATGTGTGTGAGGAAATTGAAAGGCAAAACTGATTGTGTGTCGTCAGCGTTAAATAGTTTGTCAAACAATTAGGGCCGGTTACTCAATATCTGGTTAACACTAATCTCCGGTGAAACATAGGTATCGACGTTACCGACTCCCTGTTGTATGCATGGAGTCGAAGACGTCGATAACGATGTTTATCCGCAGATTAGTGTTAACCAGACATTGAGTAACCGGCCCTTAATACTATAGTTTGATCGGAATTAATATATTCTTCAGTAATTAATTTTATTATATTAAACACAAGCTTATGATAAATTCTTTAGTCTTAAATTATTTAGTCTCTATATCGTGTTTCAAAATTCTCTCCGAGCGCGTTCACTATTGATCTTTTGATCCAAATATTGTTTGTCAAGCATTCAGTAGTGAAGTTTGATCGGAGTTTATATATTCTTCTGCAATTAATCATATTACATTGAAATATAAACGTATGATATGGTAGAAAGTTAGAAATTAATTAGTCTTAATATGCATAATTCGCTCTGTGTTCCAATTCGCTCCGAGTGCGTTCACTGTTGATCATTTGATTTAAATAATTGTTTCTCAAGCATTCAGTACTATAGTTTGTACATTTAATTAAAATATAAATCTTTAATAGGGTAGAAGTTGTGAAATTATTTAGCTTTAAAGGCCAAGATACAATAGCGCAGTGGCAGTGGCAGTGACAGTTTTTAAAATCAGCTGTTACTGCTAATATTGGCTGCCACTACTGTAGCAAACACAATACTGCGTTGTCAGTGACTGCTTTTTTTGACATTCCCTTTTGTTTGTTTACATTTTTGTTGTTGCGTTTTAGGCTTCAGTGATCAACAGATATTGGTTGCGTTTCATTTATGTCAAATTCAGCATGCGAAGTTTGCTGTGATGAAGGCAGTGGCAGTGAATTTAGAATTTGAGCTAAACTGAGCAGTACTGCTAGCTGCCACTGCTGTATTGTGAGTCGCTTCATTGGACACCACACTTTCTAAAAACAGCTGATTTCGACAAACTGTCGCTGCGCCTGCCACTGCGTTATTGTATTTTGGACTTAACATGTATAGTCGGCCAGAAACAATTGCAGAAAACTGCAACTGCTCATGAAAACTTACAATAAAAGCAGTGTAGATGAAAGTAATAAATATTATTATTAAAATTATACCCATATATAAAACATTTTACATCATTCGCTTGAAGAAAATCGGAATATATTTTTACATATATTATAGTTTTCATGTAACTCATAAAGTATATATTTCACTACAAATAGTTTTAAGATCATTTCGAATTGCAAAAATATCGGTAATTGTTGAAGTATAAAATATTTTATTACATTCATGTTTACTTGTAAAGCACATAACAATATTTCTCTCGCCAATTATCCGATGTTACAATTTTTCACCACATTATTTTGCTGCACAGCACCCTGAATTCGGCAAAACAGTTGCTCGCAACCCTCAAGTCCTTTATGGTGCATGATCCAACTACACAAGATCTGACAAGATGAAGCGAAAGAAAAAAGTAATTTTCTGGCTGACGTGTGTAATTTCGGCGCCATGTTATTTTCTGCGAAAAGGAAACAAAGAATATGAAGACGAAGCATAAAGAAAAACTGCAAGCAATGTTGTACTCATGTTTGTGCTCACCAATTTATTATTTTTGTACGTGTTTTTGCATCCAATCACCGCGCACTTCATTTTAATTACATTTGCACAAAAAATCACTTAAAAATCACTGAAATAAACCACCGACAAAATACACATAAAGAAAGAAGCAAAACAAAATAGCAAACTTCAAAATTACGAACGTCACACACTTTTTTCTCAATTGCTATTACAAATGGCTGCTTCTCAACCGGTCAGATCTGTTCTAATTGGTTCATGTTTATGGGGACCAAATTAACAGCCACCACAACAAAAGCCTTTTCTACTGGTATTCTGTGGTTCACTCGCTCATACATGTCATCTAGTTGGTGAAGTACAAGTGAGTTTAGCGGTGACATTGGGAAAATATCACGATAATTAGTGATTTTTCTGACCACTATTCTAACTTCTAAATAATTGATAAATTAGTGATGGCAGCAAAATATCCAAAAACACATGAAACCAAACGATAAATACAATTCGATTTTGTTTGTGTTTATTTTATTTGGAAAAATATATTGCCGAATATTTACTTAATTTCGCAAGAATTTTCAGAGCTACTGAGCTCAGACAATTCTTCTAATTTTTATCGGGGTCTGAATTTTCGTCGCTAAAAACTAATTCCTTAGCACCGTTCGGTCCTTCTTCCGCTCCGCAACAGCTGGGTTCAAGCCCTGGTCAAAGCAACATCGCAAAAAAATATAGAAAAAAGGTTTTTTCTTAACAGCGGTCGTCCCTCGGCAGGCAATGGCAAACCTCCGAGTACATTTCTGCCATGAAAAACAGCTTCTCATAAAAATACAATCGCCGTTCAGAGTCTGCGTAACACTGTAGGTCCCTCCGCTTTGTGCGACAACATCAAGGCGCACGCCAAAAATCTGAGGAGAATCTCGGCCAAACACTAACATATGTGTATGCGCCAATCTATTATTATTATTATTATCCACAGTCGGCCTAAGCGCATTGGCCTCAAGTTTTTTCTTCTCTATCCACATAGCGTTAAAAAAGTTTTTGTTTCTCATTTTTTTATATAAAAATTGAATACACTCATTTTTATTTATTGTTTCTTTAAATTCACCGACTTCTTCTGTATTTTGCACCACATACTACGTTTATACGCACGCTTTATTTGCAACAAACAATTTGCAAAATGGTAAACTTTGCCGTATAAATGCTGAGTTAACTTTTTATTTGCAAATAACTAAATCACGCACATAAGTATTGATTAGTGGTACTATTTGCAAATAAGCGGAAGACGCTGCCATTCTTAGGTTAATTTTCTTTTTCGATGGTCATCTTATTGCCTTTTTATAATCAAGACGTTGCCATTTTTAACTTTATTTTCCTTTCCGATGGTCATAGTATGCCTTTTCATAATCAGGCAATATTGAAAAATAATTTTTCACCATCGAATAAACGGTGAGTTAGGTATTTGCAAATTATTTTTATTTGCAAATAGCTTACATATAAACGTAGTAATAGTTAACAATGAAATAAAATTGTCTTTGATGTATGTACATATGTTGCGAGCGTACAATCGATAGTTTTCTTTTCTTTCGTTGCATGGCTGCAACAAACGGCTGACCATATCGAAAAGAAACTATCGATTGTACACTCGCTTTCAGATGTATATACATACATACATCGAAGAAAATTTTACTTGTTAGCTGTGGTTAGGGATAAAACGATACCATGGAAGTATCGATACCTGTCCTTGGAAGAAGCATCGAAAGAAAGTATCGATACCTACTAAGTATCGGACTAAAAGTATCGATACCTACTTATATGCATATTTGTACCTATTGTCACGATTCTCGTATCGCTGCATTGTTAAATAAATGATAACGATGGCCAAATTGTAGTACGATTAACTTTATTGTACAACAAACAATTTACAATACTTGCTAATACAGTAAAAACACTTTACAATACTTGTTAAGGCAATAACAACGCTTTACGGTTATTCAATGTCTGGTTAACACTAATCTGCGGTTAAAGATCGTTATCGA